AGCTGAGAATTGGCACACTAATTTTCGAGTAGAAGAGAAAGCTTCCAAAAAACGGTTAAAATTTCAAAATTTGCACTTGTTTGAAGACCATATACTTTTTCTAAACAAAATAGGGCGTATCAATTGATAAAGGTAAGCTTCCAACAACCTGTTGTGTCGATTGAACCTATGATATCATTTTTGGCAGGACAGTAATCGAGAAAAGTCGAAAAAGCGGTCAACAAAAAAAATTGACATTTTCAATAATCATAGCTTTTTTTGTTTTAAAATAATTTGGTTTAATCGCTTATGCCGGAGAAATGCATCCACTCTGCAATTTCGATTGAAACCAAAAGCCAACGTTTGGCTGCGTAGTTTTCGAGAAGTTTTTTTTTTAATTTCAAAAAACGGTCAAAATAATCAAAACTTTGAATTTTCGAAGGCCATATTTTCAAAAAAAAATTGAGTGTAGTCGCCCATGCAAAATAATTTCCCACAATTTTTCTAAAATTCCTCTTCCTTGAATCTAGAGTCTCAGATATGCTAGGACATTTTTTGATTTAAATCATAAAATTTAGAAAAAACGCTCAAAATTCAATTAATTTACTTTACAATTCTGAAAAAAACTGTGAGTCGTCGCTAATTTAGGGGAGATTCCCGCTCTCCATCATCTTCATTGAATCCACAACCTCAGATGCGGGAGGTTATTTATTGAGAAAAAGTTTTAAAAAATTTTAAAAAAACGGTAAAAAATCAAACTTTTGACAATTACAGGGGCATTAATTTTATGTATTTTAAAAAAGTTAAGCGTGGCCGCTTTCGAATCGGAGCTATTCAGATCCGTTCTTTTTATTGGTACCAATTTCTCAGATTCGGTAGGTTACTTTTGGAGAAATCGAAAAAAAAATCAACATTTTTGGTCAAATATTTCCCCCCACAGACTGGTAGGCTGTACATAAAGGCGTAAAGCAAAAAGAGACCAGAGGAGTATGCAAGCAGACAACAATCAAGACAGTTGACTTCTGGTGACCTATTTTTTGAAAATGTATTGAAGGATTTTTGAGGAAAAAAAAACTAAATTTTTTGCAAAAAGTGATAAAACTTTACAACGCGTCTCAAAATAAAAAACGCAATCCCATACACTTTCATAATAACTAATTCTATCAAACATGAATTCGAAGCATACATAAAAAGCAAGACAATTGAAACCAAATTAGCAACTGAACAAAATTTACGAAGCGGAAACTTGGCTGACGATCATTAAGCAGACACCAGTTGAGCAAAAAAAAATTACTGTAGTAACTAGTACCAACCCAGTAGCGTAATTCGAGTTTACATGAAACTGAGCATGTCAGCTGCATGCCAGCTGCATAATGTTTCAACTGGTTTTGTATAACTAGTTGTTAACCCGAAAAAAAGTCTATATTCCGATTCGATAACGCTTGCTAATCGCAAGCGTAAAAAAATTACAATCCGCAGTTCTTGAAATACTTTACGCTAAAAATTGTTTTATAAACTTTACAAATGTAAAAGTCAATTTTAAAGCCGCATCGTTAGATGACTTCATTCGCGTCAATGTTTTCGTTTTTAATGATTTACAAAGGAGTCAGCGATATTCGCTGGCCTTCGCTCATGATCGATAGATATCGAATATGCTTTGAGAAGCTTCAACGCAATAAAAAAACGTGCAGTCATGCAGACAGTGCTTGGCAACCTGGTAAATTTTGCATTGTGGCGTAGCGTAAGCCGTAGGCAAGAGTCGTTGAACGTTGAATTAAGACTTCTTTGAAAGTCGAGGGCGCCAACGAGTTGCCGGACCAAGTGTTTTTTCAAACCTCAATTTTAATTTCGAAAAAAGATCAGTGTTATTAAACTTTCATACTTTTCTAATTGCGTAGTGAAAATGCGTTTGAAAGTTCAGGCCTCAGCTTTAGCTGTAAATTTGACTTGAAAAAATAGGAGCTTTTCAAGTTTCCGATTATTTCAAGTACCTGTTTCAAGTACCTGTCAAAAACTTGACAAATAATTAGACACATATTACCCAGAGGGCTATCAAAACAATTTGAGTTTGACCATCGAAAAATTAATTTAGTAAAAAGTTAATCCAAAGGGATTGTTTTTTGGTGAAAAATAGTGGTTTAGAATTGAAACAAGAGAAGAGAGAGGGGGAACGGTCACCCTCCCCTTCGGCACACTACTGTTGTTACTATACCAATATACTATATTCAGCTTGTAGCATGACAACAACAATATATCTCGCCATCTAATCTGACGTTTACTTGTTTTCGTTACATATGGGAGAAAAAGTCTTTCCAACTATATATTTATTAACGTTTATATAATCGGAACATTAATTCAAACCCCCCAAACCAATTTTACAATGGTCAGAATGTTTTATATAGAATTTCGTATTTAGAACTGAAAGAACATCTGCCAAAAAAAAAGGTGTATAAAAAACAGCCTAAAAAAATTGAACAATTTAATCGGCCTTGTCTGTAAAACAGCGTCAAGTCAATATGGTAATTTGGGATAGGTGTATCGCCTCCTTCTTCTGAGATTGCACCCCCTGATCAATTAGTCAATTAGTGTATCCCTTTCACTAATTTCCGACATCTTTTCTTTCTTGACCAAACCCAAAAAGTTTCGACAAACAGCCTTTTGGGCGTCAATATAACTGAAAGCGAGCTCACTCCAAAAAAAGTAATTTGTTGTTCTAAATATTTCAAAAAATGTACTAAGTTTTAATATAGCTTAAAAAAATTGCCTGCCAAACAATCAGTGGCGTTCTCAGGAACTTCTGGAGGACATCTGACGCCAAAATGTTTCGTCACTTGCTTCTTATGTTGCAACTCTTTAAAATTAAGAGGCATCAAATTTTTACACAGGTGAAACTGCGCTTAGCCAACACACGCGAGAAACTCCAAAATCTAGCTTAAATCATAAAAATAGAAAAGAAAAAATTTGAGCCTTGGATACTTTTTTTTTGCTGAGGCGGATTCGAATTTACTTGCAGGAGACTTGCGATCGCACGTTCTGGCGCCTGCGTAGGGGCTCCTTGAAAACTTACTAAAACCAGCCGCCAATAAAGCAGCTACATATGCTGATAAATCGCCGAGGCTATGCAGCAAAAGGGCACCAAATATAATTGGACACAAATTTTGCCTGTAATAATTTGCAAAGTAACAAGACTGCTCGTATCAGGGCGAAGCCCTAAATATTCCGTATGCCTTTTAAGGTCAATCGAGCAGTAATAAAACGAAAAAATTAAATGTAATAAAATAAATTGACCTTTTTAAAAAAAAATTGAGATATTTGTGAAAATCGTTCCCCACACGCCATATAAAGTATAAAAGGATAGATATTTTGCTCCTATAAACAAATCAATTATGGCAAAAATCCAGCTTCAATTTATTTGGAACGATTTCTAAGACGGATTAAATCTCCGCTTACGCGTTATTAGCGCGAACTATATCGCGTGTTCATTGTCCCAAATTGCCCTCTCAACTTTACGAAAAATTATCACAGGTGAAATATCTTTTCAAGTTTCAGCTCAGGACAACAATAACTTCTGAATGATATTACAAATTTTTGTCAAAAATGGCTATTTAAAAATTCGAACTTTGACTAAAAAAAACCACCCAGAGCACAAAGATTCCGTTACTTGTAACGAAAGTCGGAATAATAAATTAAAGGAAACCATACTAACCCGTACCTAGTAAATGTTCTAATTCAGATCTGAAATAATCTTTTTCAGATTTCAATTTCGGATCTGAAATGGATTGTGAAATGTTATAACAACGCTTGGATATTTCAAGAATGGGTTATTTCAGATCTAATTTCAGATCTTTGGTTTTTTGGTTGTTTCGGATCTGAAAAAATCTATTTCAGATCTAATTTCAGATCTGAAAATTAGTTTTTATGGGTCATTTCAGATCTGAAAAATCTATGCTTCAGACACAATTTTTGCTATTTTGGTTACTTTTGTAGTTTATAGCTACTGCTAGCTACTAACAGGTAGTCAGCAAAGTCTCAAATGGGAGACTGCCGCAATATGTTTCCTCAGGCATCATATCAACAATAGAAACGCATAAATAGCGCATGAAAATCAAAAGTTCTATAAGTCTTCTAACAGTTTTTGTAAGCTTTTTAGCACAGTTGAACAAGAATTTTATTTAGAAAAAAACTGCTTGTGAATCTAAACATAATTGTATATTGCAGAAACATCAAAAAATAAAAACTCAGTTGTTTGCTCGAAATGCATAAATTATAAATTAATAAAAGGTTTCTTAGAGTTATTTTCAGGGCTGAAATTTTGTTTTTCAAGGTTTTTTCAGATCTGAAATTTTCAAATTCTTTTCAAGATTACAAATAAAAAATTTCAGATCTGAGAATCAACCTATGTAACAAATAAAAGATTTCAGATCTTTCACAGAAATCCACTGTGTACGGGAATTTTGCATGTTTTAATTTGAAAGTCTTGGAGCCAAATTATGTATAAATTATGAAGTGCAAAAAAATTGCCAGATATTTTGAGACGGAAAATCTGAAATCAAGTTTTCCTTAATGTACTGTTGTTTTAAACAAATTTTTTCCAGTGCAATTGAAAAAATTCATCAACTTTGTTATCTCATTACTGATCGAATGTCAAAGCACATGCTACCAAAAAGCACTAAAGTTGCCCCAAAAAGGGCATCAAAATTAACTTAGGTGGGAAAAAGAATACGCGTACTATTACACTACGCTCGCTGAAGCTCGTTGTGTAAATATGCTTGTCCTCGAATAAAAAACTTTCAGTTAAACTTTTATATCAAATAAGTTCTAATTATATTCTACGAATTTGCAATATTTTTTAATGCAGAGCATATGTAAGCTGGCTTTATATTATCTTTACATAACCCGCGTATGAACTCTGAAAAAGCGTATGAACTCTGTAAACACGCGTATCATTAAAATTCTGTAAAATTAACAAATATTGTTTGTTATTTGTGCGTTCTTTTTGTAGTTTAATGGCTCTCAATTTGGATAGAGCAAAAACTAGCATAAAAAGGCTAAAAATTTAAACAAGATAAAACACAAACAATTTTGTTTGTTCGTACAATTTTGATTGCTGGACCAAAAATGCTAGATTGAAAAAGATGAGCTGTGTTTTTTAATAACTTCAATCTAAATTTTATAAAACAAACTTGTCTACTTTTGGTTATTTTCTCTTTCTAAAATGACCTCACCAGTTTTGGTGCTAGTTTTTGGCACGGCTCTCTGGCTCTCTGTTCACGCTTCTGAGTCATGGTGCAGGAATGACTATGACTGCAGCAGCGATGAAATGTGTTGTATTCGTCGCATTTGCACATACGATTGCAGCAGGTAAGTTCATTACAAAACTAAGCTGAAAACTTCAGGTCGCGTCGCTTGACCGCGTCTGTTTTCGTCTATTCGAATTGGAAGAATGCGTTACGGGAAATTTAAACCATTGAAATTATCGAATGAAAAAGTGAAAAACTCAATCGTGAAAATTTCCGAGTTTCACTCTTTTATTTTTTACAAGCTTCTTAAAGTTAATGCCAAATTGTTGGCAAGATCGGTGACCTTGAGTAAATTAATCGGTCAAAAACAAGAACTTTTGAGGTTCATTAATTTTTTGAAAACAGTTTTTACATGTGGTAATCAGCCAAAAAAGAGAAATCCGACAACAAATTGAGCAGTTTTAAGCTAATTAACTTACTTCAGATTTGTTGAACGAAAAGGTATTGTGATACGAGAAGGCAGTAACGCTGATCTTTTTGTTATCTCTGTATAAATCCAATGTGTTATATTATCTGTTCAAGGACAATAGTGTCTAACCATGCGTACAACAATACGTGACCAGAGTTTGTTATGCTAGAGCAAGACTCAGCAGATCATTTAGTTATGGGCACAAAACAGACGTTCTGAGAAATTAAAGTTTAAAACAAATTGTTAATAACCTCACATTTGAGTTCGTAGACTATAACATGACGCAGCCAGCAGGATTCCTTATGCAGGATAACCGGCAGACATGGGAATCCCAGTCTTTTGGACGACAGCCAACTCAGACCTACCATGGCAATTCAAAATTTGGCTTGCACATTTTTTGATGGCAGTGACAGTTAAGGAAAATGCCAAACGGGAACTGCTATTGGCAGACACAAAAAACGTGGGGAAAAACCGCCATCAAGGCGTGAATCTCCCAAATGGGAGAGGACATGAGTGCACTGGCAACTAGAGAGCTAAGAAGCAAACAAGCATTTGAAAAAAGCGTACAGGAAAAAAAGGCGGACGAGAAACAAGCCTGAGGCCCAAATCTTGGACACAACAAATAGTACGAAACGATAAGTATTACGTCTGTTTTTAGCACAAATAACAGGGGGGAACGATATTCTTGCAAAAAAAACCTCGTGTCGAAATTTCAAAACTATCTTTCCATCAGGTCATTAAAATGGCAAAAGTGGCATTCGAAAAGGTGAACAGCGTAACATATGGGAAATACAAATTGTTCAATAGAACAAAACAACAAAGGTAGACACACGAAGCGTTCCATGTAGCGCTTACTGCCCAAACAGTTAGGTCAGAATTAAGGAAAATGGAGGATGAACTAGTAAGAGACCTTTTCAACTCGGTAATGAGGAATGCAACTCTGCAAGACACATTGACAGCGAAGATATTGAGCCCCGAAGCAGTATTCAAAAGAGCGATCAACGCTGGAACATAGTAAGCAAACAAGATCAGCATTCCAGAAAACGAACTCAATGACTGAAGGAGCAGCATCAACTTCATCAAGCCCAACGTTCTTAAATAAGCAAGAACCAAAACCTATAGTTAAAAATCACGAGGAGTGATTTGTTCAAAAAGAAGTAGATTGGTTAGGACACCACCTGTCAAAAAAAGGAGTTCTGCCAAAGATATCAGAGACCGCAGCAATCATTAAACATAGCTCACCAAAAACATTGAAACAACTCAGGTCATTCTTGAGCAGTAAAAATCAATTGGCAAAATTCATTCCTAACGTGGCTAGCCTTACAAAAAATCTGAGACTATTGTCGAAGGAAGAAAACAAAAAAAATGGAAAACCGTAAGATCGCAGTGAAAAAAAAAGTTTTTTTTTGGAAAATTGAACTTACAGAAATCTTTGAGAAAACTAATATAGCTGTAGCAAATGCTTCTGAAGGTAATTATTTTGATTCAAACTGAGAAACAAAATTTAATTGTGATGCCACTTACTGGGGGCTGAACTAAAACAGAAAAACAATGAAAGTGATTGCGCACCCCAAGAACCCATCTCTTTCGCATCGCGCTATCTAAACGTTCGAAAAAAATACTCTTCTAATGAGTTAGAACTGCTGGCAATAGTTTGGCCAGTAGACACATATAATCATTATCTGTTAGGAACAAAATTCCTCATAGCTGCGGATCACAAAGCACTCACCTCTGTCCTGGACAGTAATCGATCGAATAAAACGTGGCAATCTAGATTGAGCCGATGGGTCCATCGGTTATTGCCCTTTCAGTTTAAAGTAGTTCATATCCCTGGGGGAGATATGGGCATCTTGGATTATTTGTCCAGAGAGTCGAATGGCGATCCATGGCCTGAATAAGAATAAGACAAAAATTTGTACTTACGGTGATAGAGTCGTTTCATTCAGCACTCGACTGCTTTAGCAGTAGGTACGATGAGACTAGTTCGCTCAACCAAAACGGAAACACTCCAGACTGTTCGAAACATTCTAGAACAAAGAAAAGGCGAAATAAATCATCGTACGGTTTCTATAGCAACCAAATTGTTCAAAATCAAAAAAAGCCCGATCGGAACAAGAACTCTTCAAAATCAGTGTAGAAAAGCAACAGTAGGAAGCAACAGTGTAGAAAAACAACAGTAGGAAGCATAAGAAGAAGAATAAATAACGGAAACGAACGAGGAAAGTAGACAGAGGAAGCAGATTAACTACTCCTTTTCCGACCGAAACGAGCTCAAGATCGCCACCTAGAATAAAAAAAGGTTGGTCTCGTACAAAAACCACATACCAGAACATCATTGCTCTCATTCTGGCCATTAATGTGAGACGAAACAAGAGACAGCCAAAGTTAATAGGGGATCTGGAGGCAATCACAATAAAAGCCCCAAAGGAGGACCAAAGGCAAATGCGGAAAGAATTTGTAGAACTCTTAGGACACATGATGGAAGTGGACCTGACCTTGAGTGAAGAGGGGGAACAAGAGGTACATCTGCTGCACCCAAAACGACGAGTGAGTCATCTATCGAGAAATGAAGCACATAAATTGCGTGAGTAGTTAAGAGAGCAAAACCTATCACAGTTTACACGTCTCTTCGACAAAGCTCTGTAGTGGAACACACAAATGACGACACATGGCTAGACTGAAAGAAGAGAGTGATTAAACGGGGCGACAGAGAGGGGTTCGAGCTGATGGGCCTTAAGCCGACCTCATTTGGAGTCTGTTGGCAGAGGTGAACGACTGCATCCTCGTGGACATAAGGCTCGCCGTAAAAATTGCACTGATGAGACCAGCAGTAATGAAGCGAATTTATCGAGGACACCCGGGAAAAGGGGCAATGTTGAACGTATCAAACTGCTTGTGGTAGGCGCACATGCAGTAGGCCATAGTCAATCTTGCAGAGGAATGTCGTAACTGTACACGATATGATAAGTATGCTAAAAAAATTCCTTAAATCTCGTCTAGACCGTTACCACACCTATCACAACATAGTCAAGAGTTGCAATTAGAGCACGCAGGGCCTATGAAAAATCATGAAGGAAGGAAAATATACCAGCTGGTAGCGAAAGATAGATTTTCTCAGTTTCCCTCAGTAAAAGTGACCAGAACAACGGGAAGCAAGTCAACATTGTATTTTTTACGAACGTCAATTGATACACATGGAAAACCCCAATCAATTGACCACTTCTCGTGACTTAAAGGGAAAACTGAGCAACGCGTCTGTCCTCAACTTAACATCGAACACAAAATTAAGCTAAGCACAGTTCTCAGACTTGAGATGGAAAAAACAAAAATCCATTAGAAAGTTTCCGTTCGAAGCCATTTCGGGAGGTTGCCAAAGGGTGTATTAAAAGTAAGCAGGTTTTTGTGTAACTCTGATCGTTTAGATAATTGACATCTGGAACGATCGGCGCTGACAGCGTCACAACTAAAAAAACGATTAGATCAGTCAAGAGAGAACATCGAGTTCGTTGTGAAGTGACATCAGATCGCTGTTCTAGCAGCAAAAATCATCGACGAGGAAGAAGAGCGGAAAAAGGTCCTGAATAATTTTCTTGAAGCCAGACGAAGAAAGAAGAGATACAGCGGCTAACGATATTCGAAAGATACTAGATATGAATGGACTGGAAAATCCCGAATTGAAGAGACACCTCCTATATTCGTGAGAAAAGGGGTTATAGGAGATAAAGAGCACACGAAATGCATAAGCTCTACTGGGTGAATTCTCCGGAAGGACAAAGCCAGGAAAAGTGAGAAGCTATTAACAAACCCACTAAAGAAAAAAGTGCCGTCAGAATCGTAGTCAACAACCAAGACGACGGGAGGAACAGTATACAGGAAAAAAGCGACATAACGATCGCCAAAACGAAGTTGTCGGAGGAGACTTCAAAGCCCAATAAAAACTGGATCAGCAGGAAAAGTGGTACCATAAAGCAAACACACGAAGAGACTAGCCCAAACATGGCCCCAGTAGGAGGATACCAACAGAGCTGAAAAGCAAAAGTTCGCAATTCGCAACGCTGAGGTCTGAAGACAGCGGAGAGGAGAGAGAGTTAAACGATAATATCCAGATGCAGTGGCAACATCGGTATAAAGCAGAGAGATCTGAAATCGGAATCGAGAAGTTCCAAGTTGACCTGACTCATGTTACATCCCACGAAACTAGCTCTGGAGGTAGACTGAACCTCGCGGTGAAGCGAGCAAAACCGAGCACTGCAGGACCAAAGTCAATTTAACCCAAAGCACAGGACCAAATAGGGCTACTGAAGACGGAAAAGGAACCAACGGCCCAGGAGACACAATGAAATAAAGCTGCACAAGCAGCAAGAAAGGCCATAACCAAAAACACAGAGGAAAAAAGGACCAGAAAAAATGAGTCAATATCTATGGATGCGACAATTGATCCGGAAGAAGGAACTGAGCCGGAAGAAAAAAACAGTGAAAAAAGCGGCTAAAATGTTTAGGAAACTTGACAAGAAAACGAAACCAGAAGATATTTTGGACACGTTTCAGAAACAAAACCTGGCACCGGAGGAAGTGGAACCGTTGGCAGATCAACTCTTGCAAAGGGGAGTACAGAAAGCTGCGGACAAGATTGGACTGAGATAGAACCCAAAGGAGTGAAGAGATGACAAGTTTGACACAGTTATGGGATTTTCAGATGAATCGGGCCAAGAGGACACTAGCGTGAGAAGGAGCTCAAGACAAAAAAGGAGCAAATGACCATCGAGGTTCGGTGACCCAGTTGTCGAGTCGGTTGAGGAAAACTCTACGGACTCTGAGACAACAAATTACCGGACCAACTACGGTTTCTAACAAGTTGAGGAAAGTTACGGACTCTAACAAATTACAGGACCAAGCTAGTGAACGTCAAACATCGAGAGGACAGACCTATCAACTCGAGACTGACACTACTGCAGCGCCAGTTATTCCGAAAAAAAATCGGATACAGGACCTTGGATGAGGGCAAAACAGGAACCGAAGTTGGCAAATTGAAGTACAAATGAATTATGAATCAGAAAATCAAACTTTTACTACAACTTGCAACGCAAAACTGAGACTTACACTCCTATTTTTATTATAAAATTTCATTTATTATATGTGGCTTAAATGATTCCGTCCTGAGGGGAATGTGGTACTGCTCAGGCAGTAACCTTGATGTTATTGTTATCTATTTATAACTCGAATGTATTATATTATCTGGTCAAGGTCATTACAATTTAACCACGCTTACAACAACAGGTGGCCAGAGTATGTTATGCTAGAGCAAGACTCAGCAGCTCCTTTCAGACGTTCTGAGAACCTGAATTGAAGTTTAAAACATATAGTTATTATTCTCACATCCGAGCTCTTTAGAATATCACAAATATTGTAAACAGTTTGGCATTAGCTTTAAATCAACAATTCAAGTTATTGTAAATACCTTTTTCGATTAATTAGTTTACAATAATGAAACCCTTTGCTGAGAATATTCCACTAACTTTGAATTCGACCCGAACAGCAGCGTAACAAAAAGAAAACAAATTTCATTTTTGTAGACCTTTTACCAAAATTTTATATAGCTGTGGTTTCAGTCGTCATGTGTCAGTGCTGGCTGTGATTGGGTCTCCCTTCGCATTTGTTGGCTTCTGCATCTGCTGCGGACTTGGCTTCAGATTCTGCCACAAAAGCGGTACGTACAAACACTCAGACCCATTTTTGAGCTTTCCATGCGTCAAAAGTTTTGGAACCTCTCGTTTAAAGATTTGTTTTTGAGCACACTGAGGCTATTACAGTCTGCAAGCGATCAAAGCATGTCTTAAAGAGTAACGACTCTTTCGTTTGATGTTTTGGGATATGCCTTACTTTTTCGTGCAAACTTTTTCCTTTTGAAAGTGACGTTTAAAATTTACAGGGATAGCTCAGAAATGGGCGAATCCGTTAAGCAAAATTTTTAGGTCAATCTTTCTTTTGATTCAATCGAATGGAGTTTCGACCGCGTGAACAAAAGGGCCTTAGGCTCCAATGTAATATAAATTTGAGGAGCGCGAACCAAAAAAAATGCGATTTATACGTCAAAACCCTCCCCTAATATGTCATTTTGACCTGTTTTCTACAAATGTTGTGTGCTTGGCAATACTTTTGGTCGAAATAGGGTCTAAAGTGATTTGGGGTAGCTCGGAAAATCAATCTCGTTGACCTAGAAAAAAGTCTACGAAACTTTCGCAAATTTGAGAAAATCTCTCCCCTCGACAAAATCCTAGATTCTTCCCTGGTGTGAAATACTGAGCCTCGAAACTGTTTCAATTTATTATTTCGGTAACACTTAAAATATAAAATTAGCTCAAGTAAACTAAGATGGGTTTAATTAAGTTTGAGAAACATCTATCACAATTGCACCTCAGCATTTCTAGCACTAAAAGAAACTTGTCCTGAAAAAGCATTGAATGAGCACTGCAATCACTTAGCAAAAAATTAGAGACTAAATTGTGCATTTTTGGACCAAGTGAACAATCTCCACCATCATTCAATTTAGTGGGTAGAGAGAGCTCACTTGGTTAAAAGTAATATTTTCCAGCCAATCAAATTTGAGCCTAACACGTGAGGCATGGCGGCTTGAATTTTTTATTTAATTTTAGAGGGGAGATTGTTCACTTGGTCTATTCAGGGGAGAGATTGCTCATCTGGCCCAATTTTTTTTTTCAAGTTTTTTTACTAGAAAAAAAACAGGTACACAGAAAAATTTGATATATTATATTTAGAAAAAGCTTGTCAACCGTGATTGGATCGATAATTAACAAATTCCAAAACATTTCTGTCCTTAATAAATTGGGCAGAATTGTTTTAAGAGGCTTTCAACAATTTGATTTATTGCAAGCTAAATGCTGTAACTTTTCACTTATTGTGTAATTAAGCCTTTCACAGTATATTTTAAGCTAGATTTCTTCTCTTTCCTACATGCAAAAAAAATGAAACAAATTACAAATTGGTTGAATTCAAAGTTTTTCATTTCTCGTTTTTATTATCAATTTTGTTCCAATTTAAACAATTTTCTAAGAACAGAATTATTTTTATAGATTTGTCGCGAGTGAAGTTCAATAGTCGGAAAGCCTGTTGAGTAAGAAAATTTTCAGTGTTAAATTAATATGAATGCAAAAAAAACAATTTGACAAGGGGTTACTAATCAGAACCACTTGCTAAATTGAAGTTGTTCACGTTTTTCATGGCCTTTTAACTTTCGCTGTTTGATAGTGGATTTTTCCTTCCTTTCAACCCGTGATCAAGGGATGAAAATGGCGATTTCTGGAATACTATAGAAGTAGCGATGATCGACGGTAGGACCTCAAAACGAGCGCTATCTGCGAATTACAAAATATTTATTTCAACCAAATTCTCAACGATGCTGCCAAGGTTTTTGAGAATAATTCAAAGTTGTTTTCGAGTGTTTAGCAAAAAACGTGGAAAATGCATTTGTACCGGCGCTGTTTGAAAAAATTGATGCTCGCTCGAGCCGTCTCTCAAAAAATTCTGAAGGTGTTCACCCAAAATGGGCGTCGTGAAATTAAACGAAAAGAAGACCCTTTGGATATTGTCTGCGTCAAAACTCGAGTTGCCATTGGCAGAATCCTCATATCTGCTACTGATTTTACAAACAATAAAGATGTCTTTTGGAGAAAGCCATGTTAGTATTTAATGAGTTATTTTTTAGGCAGGTATAAGAACCGCAACCGGCGTTCAAACCAATCTAACACAAACTCAAACAACACTCCACCTGAAAACAATGAAGCGGATTCAGCCAATCAAATCACAGTGACATCGATAAGAACAGTGGCAAACGATACAAACAGTCGAATTGGGTGGTCGAGCTACCCGACCAATCACGACTGGCATACAAATAACTTCGCCCAAACAGGCCAGCCGCCGCTGTATGAGTCATCAGTTGTTGTCCCCAAACCCCCTTCATACGAAGAGACAATAATAGGCAACGAAGTGAGCCCACCTGGTTACGTTGAGAGTGAATCAAGAACCCCAAGTGGAAATTCCAACAGTGGTTACCAAACTGACAGCTCATTGCCAGATTATCAGACAGCGCTGCGCGGATAAAGACTTTCAAAATTTAGAAGACAATTGCGCTGAGTTAATCTAAAAGCAGAGACTTGTTTACAAGAAATTTCAGCCGTGTTAATGAGATATAGTTTAGTTTATATTTCTTTTGTTATAAATAATTTCTGATTTGAAACTTATGATTGATAATTTCAGATCCGAGGCAGGTATAAATCAGTATTTTTCTCATTTTTTGACGGTGCTCTCAAACAGGATTGATCTTTCAAACCTTCTACGGTCAACGCCACATTACAAAACAACCAATAAGTCTCAAAGAAAATCTTTAATTTTTTTCGATAGTTCTCTACAGTAAGCTATATCGTGACGTATTTGTGTCTGACTGCAATTTTTCATTACTAGTATCCAATCGGTAGTTAGTTAGCTATTAAGATTGACTTCGATCCTTTTAGACGGCTAAAACAAGTATCTAGGTATCTGGCTATTGAGGCAATGGGCTGTAGTAATTTCAGATTTTTTCGTCAAAACGCTACATTTTGCGCGTCGGGTAATAAACATCGTGATATTGATATTTGTAATTTTACCCAGAAACGAAGCTTAGCTTCTTGAACACTAGCGAGAACACGACAAAAAGCAGCTCTATGAAGTGCAACAAGAAAAAGTAGAAGTCAGCTTCGAATTGGAAAAATTCGGTTACGTCTCGGATTCGATCTGCAATCTAGAGCATATGAGTTTGACTAGCTTATCACTCAGCCACGGACGCTAAATAAATCATTAACACTAGCCACAAATAAAGCAGAGAACAAATGCTATGAAATTTTTAACGCTACAGATCGTAATTATAGCAAAAGTGCCTCCAAATAAGTGAGCACTTTTAATCAACACTTTTATTTCGTAGTTAGGCTAGAAAAAAAGAAGGTTCGTACTAATACACTACGCTTCGCAAACTCGCGGGTGTAATAAATTTCATTTCAATGCCGAGGCCTGAGATAAAGTAGTTCTTGTATGGAACTTTCTCCGGCTCTTTTCCACACCATCAACAATTTAAATTCTATTTTATATGGCAGCGGAATATTTTATATTTCGCAGCCGAAGATGGCTAACTGCGTGACATGTCGTAAAAAGATATTATGGCGTAGCTGCAATTTGCAAAGAAAAGCAAAAACGACATAAGTGAGTTTTAAACAGAAACAAAGCAAATCTTTGCACCACTTGCAATAAAACAAAAATAAAGCATGTGAAACAACACCGGAACAACACTTGAGGCAGTAACAAAGACGACAATACCTGAGCAGCCACCCTTTGTACCAAAACAATTGTTTCCAGGAAAAAATGGAATCCCAAAACACACACACACAGAAATTTTTCCAGGTTATTGAACGACGCAATACTAGGTCACTACACCGATATAATATAAATCAAAACCTCCCATAATGGATGAGTAGAAAAAAAGCACGAAATCGAAAGACTAAATCGGAAATGACACCCAACATAAAAAATCAAATCTCGATTAAAAAGACAGATTGTTGACAAAAAAATCGATTTCAAAAAATCCTCCAGTGGTTGAACAAGACAAGTTCATTGAATCGAAAAAACTTCCGAGTTGGTAACTGTGAAAATCGCTTGCGTAAAAAGCAAGAGAACACAAAAACAATCTTTGGAAAAAAATAGCTGAATACAGGATGCGAACCAGCTCGTAACCAACCTTGCCTACCTCTAGAATGCGAGTCATTTGCCTTCGCAATTGCTCCATATCACCTTGTTGTCTTCAGTTGTAAACACAAGGTAATAGAAAATACCACTTAGCAAGGAATGTGCTAAAATAAAGCGGGAATAATGCTAATTGCGTTTAAGCAAAAAAGCACATACTGATATTGAGCACAAACTGAGCACTAACTTGTGAGATTCAAGTTACAAAAAAGAACTCATTCTATAATGCCAAGGTTTCACACAGAAGTGAAGCAGTACTTCACAAGTACAAACAAGAAAACGGCAAAAACTAGAAAAATGAAATCAGGAACGAAGAGATAAAAATAGGCCTTGAAAAAGAAAACTATTTGCATGAATTGAATCGCCGATCAATAAATTGAGAGTTTCATGTCCCAGTATCTGCTCCATGGTGCTTGAGAATCGACAAACAATTGCCATCAATTAAGCAGATTGAACAGATGCTATTAAATTGCCAGATTGCAGCAAAAAGGCCAACAAAGAAAACTGTATGCCTAAGTAGCATTCAAAAAGTTGATTCGTAAAATAACACTACACTCGACGGCTCGCATGTGTAACACAGAGGCGACGCTGAGTTTCATCATTGCAATACCAAAGAAACATTAAAAACATAAGAAGTTGGAAAAAAACTAGGTAAACCAAAATTTGCAATTTTGAATGTCACCTAAAATTATATTGAACACCACTTGCACGTGCAACTACAATGAAAGTTGCCTACAGCACAATAAAAATCTGTGATGTGGCAGCGAAACTGGCAATCTTTGAGCAGACCCCAGTTGAGACGAAACAAAAATTGATGTTAATAAAAAATATTGAAAGTTCAAGTCCCCCTGAAACAACATTGAACAACACTTACACTTGCAACTACAATGAAAATTGCCCACAGCACAAGCAAAACCTATGATGCCGCAGCAAATCTGGCAATCTTTAGGCAGACCCCAGTTGAGACGAAACAAAAATTAATTTTATTTTAAAAATTTAAAAGTTCAAGTCCCCCTTAAAATACATTGAACAACACTTACGCTAGCAACTACAATGAAACTTGCTTACAGCAGAAAAAAAGTTTGTGATGTGACAACTAAGCCGACAAAACAAAAAAATACATACTGAAAAAACAACAAAGCCCGGCTGGGAATCGAACCCGCAACCGCATTTCCTCCAGACCAAGTGGGGAGGAGACTGAATATTATTATGGATAAACAAAAAAGTAACTAATAAAAGCCAAAAAAAAAATTAAGAAAGTTGTCTACGGGAAAAAAGTCTAGGTCTTAATTACAAGATTAGTTACAGTAAATGGGTCTGGAAAATCGATATTAGAGGTCAAGGTTATTGGCGATTTAATCAGATTATATCCTGAATTCCACTGCAGGCACCGCAATCCAAAATCGCTCTTTTGTCGGAACAACAAATTCTTACCTTGTAACATCCGCAATCTACTTCTTTCATTTTGAAGCTGTGAACTCTTAACATGATTCAATTAAAAATGGCATAAGAAAATTTTCTATTAGTACTGCTATGTCAATCATTCAGTTAATTGCACTATAGTAAGTCAGCTCTCCTCAAATTGATGCACGAAACCCCAAAGACTATTTTTGCTTCAGAAAAGCAAAGATTCACTCAAAAAACAATGCGATTTCCATTTCAGTTTTTTAAACATCTTGAGCCAAAACTTCCGATAAGTCATACTAAGATCCAGAGTTTTGCTCCTTTCTGTTGCTCGCTCTTTTTCTTTTGCAGACACATGGCATTGCCAATTTAAATAAAACATGTCAACCGAAATGAAAATAGCAGCCTAATATAACAAAAAGAAATGCGTTTATTGTTTTAGTTGTTCTATCAACTCAACTCCTCTTGCAAAGTCATTACTACTGCTACTGTTTGACAGTTGGTGCGATGATGAATGCTGACTACTGTGTTGAATCCCCCTTTCCCCTCTGTGACTATTCTGTGGACCACCTTGGTTGCTTTGCACCAAGGAGTCCACATTTCCAAGACTGTCTTCGTGTGCTCTGTACTCAATTGGAATGTTCTGCGGTATCTGCATGACTCGCCTCATCACGTCTCTGATGCGTGTCTTAAGCGCTTCGTTGTTTGAGGTTCTCGTCCATACCGATATGACACTCTGATGAGGCCTATGAAAACGTCATTGATTTGAAAAATTCGCAACTATATAAAGAGAGGGGGGAGTGGACCCAAAATTAAGCATGAACCATTTAATTCATTTCAATTTGTATTCTGAGCCGGATTAACTCGCGGCCTAAGCTACGCGTTAATAGAAAACTGGTAAATTGCACACATTGATAACGCCAAATTGGAAACCTTCAAATTCTCGTTACAAAAAATAGTCGCAGATAGAATATCTTCTTAATTTCGAGCGCAAGGTATCACTATCTTTGAATTTCATAATTCCGAAAAAAATAATTAGTTAAAATCCCCACTGAATACAAATATTCCACCTTTTCTTCGAAAGTCACAACAATTAAATTAAACATAGACAATGAACACAAAAATGTGCGATTTAAGTTGTAAAACGGCGAGCTCATAATAAAACAACCATTCGCACTAGCAATTAAAAATAATCAAACTCAATTTCATTGCAAGAAAATTTTCACTCAAATTCACCACTTGAAAGATTTTATTTTTATTAAGACTACTTTTTGTCAGAGGTGATTCGTCGGAGTCTTACTTTGTTTGGAATATGCATAAACATACCTGTTGGCTAGCACTACTCCAGTGATTTCTTCGCCCACCATGAACTGTTCTCCGAGGAGGGCGAGAAGCAGATTCTCCCAACACCTGTCAACGTAGTTTTTCCTCACCCTCACGAACCATTTGCCCCCTCTCCTGTTCGCACTGTCCTCCCAAAGGGGACGCACTCCATTCTTGAACAGGTGGTAGGAGCTGCTATGGGGGATCTGGGAGGGCGCCATCGTCTGCAGACTCACCTACATGTACATCTTATCTTATACATTGACCCATACTTCTTCCAGCCTGCTCTCAGTCTAAATTTGGGTGGCGGCGGGGGCTTTATTTGTTACTAGCACCATAGGGTGGAATGGGTCACCTTAAGAGATCCGTTAACTTCGAGATAACACTATGCTGAACATGCGCAGTTCATACTTGATAAGAGATTGTATAAGGCCCACCTGCCAAAATTGTTCCACAGACTGGAAGCTGACCACTGCTTTGACCAAGTCATCATAGCTCAAGTTGCGCATTCGGGTGGGGGCCAGTCGCTTGGAGTACCACAGGGTGTAGTAGCACTCTAGAGGATGCTCTCCACTCTGCATGGGAAGAGGAGTCATCCTCAACCTCAGGTCCTCTTCTGTCTGTTTTTCAAACTCGTCCTGCTCAGCATCCACCACAGCCGCCAAAAAGTCTTCGTCAGTTGCAGCTGCAGCACGAGACTCTGACATTCTCCAATCTGAAAAAATGATGGCAGCCACTCAAAAGAAAATTTGCAAGTTGTAGACAAATCAACCATTTAGAATACTAAGCGACAGTCTTCCCAACACTCATAACACAGCCTGGGTACCAAAGCGAAAAGAATATAATCCAAATACAGTTTATTCAACATTTGACCCTGTCAACGATATTGAACCAAAAAAGAAACATAATTTTAGACATAACACGCAGTTGCAATTTCCTCACCTTCATACTCATCAAAACGCTTTTTGAGCGACCTGATGTTCGTAAAAAAGCCTATTTCGAAAGTTCATTTTCACCACATCAGAGAGGCAGAGCGCGCCAAAAAATACGTTCTTTTCACTCATTAATGTACAGAAAACTTCATTATTCATGATTTCTTCTTTAGCACTGCTCTCCAAACACTGCTCTCTGCTATCCAGTTTCGGACTAGCCTCAAATTTTTCTTGTGTCTTTTGTGCGAAACTTTCAATCAAGTCCAGCGATTTTCCGATTTTTGAAAAAAAAACTTGCTGTTTTACTTTTGATACCTAATGAGGAAATGTTCTTGAGAATTGATCCTACTACCAAAATATTGCCAACTGACTTCTTTTCCTCTGTTTGCTTGGCAGTCTTCGTCTCTCATTTTAAACCTCAGAACACCCTTTCCAAACCACATTTTGATAATGTTCTTCTCCAGTTGCAATAGCTTGTGCTGCTTAGAAAACTACTTTCAAAAAGAAAATCGAAAACGCTTTAATAGAAAACCGAGCAAAATAAAGTTGCGAAAAATATGAACTATCAAACCTAGAAAATTCATTTCGTTTGCCAATACTTAGAACTGACTTAATAATAAGTTTTTTTTTTTAAAAAAAAAACAAGTTTCGAAAAAAAAGTTGGACGAATTTGAAAAAATAGGTTCCATTATCTTTAATCACACCTTAGCTATTGGCAACCAAATGCAACTCTTCTTTCTCCCTCATAACACGAAATCGTCTACATGGGAAACTAACAGCAACAGGACTTACATATTATTCAAACAGCTAAGAACAAACCTTAAATCTCAAAAAAGCTTCTACGGCTGATCTGATGATCCATTTGTGTACAACTCCCCCCCCCCCCCCCAACATACGGCTAGGCATTCATGATTTCCAATTCTATACATCAACCCTTACCTCACAGATCCTTGCTCAGCCTGCACGCTGCCCCGGCAAATACATGCAGTAATTAATTAATTTCCGTTAATCGAGCGGTTACAGCCATTGCTGTTTAAAACAGCAAAAAAATTGGCAGCGTTAAAACACTGCAGACAAAAGTTGAGATTTTTGTTGGAAAAAAAACTACTTGTATTATTAAATGAGTTGCTCTTATATAAACACAAGTGATGAACCTGAAACCTATCCATTCTTTGAACTACAAATTCCAAACGCCGTAGATTAACCACTGGACCTCTTAGCTTTCTAAGTGAAAATCACTTATGATCTTTTACTATTAATTAAATTTTCATAATTTTTCGCGGCACTTTTGTTTTAGAAACTTATTTCCTTCCTTTTAGCAAATGAACTTGAATTGAACTTAAAAAGAAATCAAATGTCAATACAACTTGAGAATAATGAGTTAGGTCCTTGAGGATTTTGTTAGTTCTAAATTCGAGACTTATGGTCGCACCAGATGAGTTATGTTCTAGGTGTAACTCATAGAGTAATTTCGGATAGGTTACACCGTCTGCTCGTCACGCTAACTTATTTTTTGCCGGATAGATTCGTGCAACTTCTTAGTCTAATACCGATCCTAATCTTACTCTTATATCTACTAGTCTCAGGGTGTTTAACTAGTCTCTGCTAGGCTCAATATATCTAGAGTATACTGGCTTATTGCGACTACTGAAGTTCTCTTGGAGGGGTAACTAATTTCTAAGTTAAATTCAAATCTCTCTGGTGCTGAAATTACAAGTAATTTCAGCACTTACAAATAAGTGGGTTGTTAGTTGGATGGATTATGATTGGTTAATATTAAATATTTTACAGTGGTAAAATATCTAATTTATCCAATAATAAAATGTAGTTTAGATCAGGTTCCAATAAGTCAGAAAAATTAAGTCATGAAAAAAACCATTATGGACTATATAAGCATTTTTATTACGTTCAATGACACTTAATAAACGTAGAAACGAATGTTTCTCGATTAAGTAGATAATCATCGAAGTCTTTAAAATCTTGCAATAGAAACTGAAGTGTTGATGCAACCTAAGCTTTTGATTTGATTTCTAATATGAGACGAAATGTGCATATTGCAATACACGGTTCACTTATGTAATGGCATATTTAGATGCCATATAAATTTGGGATCCAACTTGATCAGTCATGGAGATTTGCTCAGAGTTGAAGCCTCTTTTTGTTTATAGACGCAAAAAACTGCAAAAAATACAAAAAATTAAAATGGACGCAGAGGCCGCTTCGCTTCTGAGTCCATTTTGACATTTATAAAAACATTTTTTGCTGTTTTTCGCGTCTGTGTACCAAAGCAAAAGGAAGCTTCAACTCTGTGCAAACTCCCATCACTGATCAAGTTGGATTCCAAAAAGACATCGCATCCAAATAGGATTGTCTTTAAACATCAGTATTGATAAAAATAGCTTCGTCGTTTTCAAAGATTTAAATCTCGGTACGAACGTCTATTAACTGACGGAAAGATTTGGCGCTTTTATGAATTGAAATAAATGTTCAATTTAAAAAAAAACAATTAAAACAGGTGAGTCTATAGAAAATATGCCTCTCTTAAGCTAGGATGTTTTTAAATTAGGGGCAAGTCTTCGAGAAAAAACGTCACGCGAAGTTTAACCAAAATGAATGTGATATTTGTAACCTATTCACATAATTGAAGCCTGAATTGCAGTATCAATACATCACACATTTTGTCTCATATACAACGCAAGCATAGAAATGCACGCAGGCGACTAGAGACTAAAGAAAAAAACGCTCAATCTATTTGAAAAAAAATCTAAAGAAATTTATCTCGACTGATGTTCGATTTCAGGAAAAAACAGTCGCAATTCAATCATCAGAGTTAAAGGATTCTTCATTATCTTTTACCAAGCCGTCACTAAGCCGACAAAACTTGTGCAGACAACTGTTCAAACGAAAACAAAAAATCTATTTAAGAAATTGTTATACACAGAGGCGAAGCTGCGCTTCGCATCACTCTCTATACATTAAGTATAGGATTAAAACAAAATGGCGCTAACGAATTAGCAACGAGGACTTCAAACGATGCTACCGTAAAGAGCAAGAAAAACAAAAAATTATATTGTTAAAAATTAAGTTTTTTATGTTCAATGTTTAAAGAGGTCCAAATGAGGTTGATTTTGAGCATTCAGAAGTTTTGGGCCAGAGTCAAATCGGTCCAAAAAATAATACCGAAAATTTGTAGGAAACAAAAAATTAAGTGAAAAAACCGATATAATTAAAGCCGACAGCCAATAAGCTTAAAAAAATCAACCTAAATTTTTTCGGCAAAATCTTATAAAAAAAACAAATACGTACTGCCCACATAGTACCCATGAGTGCTATACATGAACAAAACGCAAGGTGGTACACACAATTCCAAGGAAACCAAGTTAAGAAGGAAACTAAGTCAAAATCATTAAGTCAAAAACCATTAGCAAAAAAAAATAATATCGAAATTCTATAATTATAAATACAACTTGATCAGGCAAAATTAGCATCGATAGAAAAGTTACTAAGCGGTAACAAAGCCCAAATAACTGAGCAGAAACGCATCATGATTTTTTACTAGTAAAAAAAATTTAAGACCCCCTCATCAAAACACTCCCAAAAACGCTTTCGCTCAGGAAACTTCGCAAAACGAGGCCACTAAGACAAAAATAACATATGAAACTTTCACAAATATGCTTATTTGCTCAAAATATACATGTTGCAGTATTTTTAACAGAAGACAGGAGATGAGTCCTGTGAACAAAGTTTTTACGGGAAAGAAGTCTAATACCCGATTGCAATAATCTTGCTGATAGCAAGGTTGAATATTTTTAAGCTACTAAATTTGAAAACTCGAAATTTTTACACCCCACTTCTCAAACATCAAACATAATTACCTATTTTTGCTCTTCCGACGAAACAATATACTGTATTTTAACTAATATAACCAAGCCGAAACAAGCGGAAAAAACATAGCCAACAAAATATACAAAAACATAATGACTTAAAAATAGAAAAATTTCAGGAACAATTTAGTATTGACACTTTTTTGATAGAGCAAACCGAATATGAGAAAACTGGATGAAAAGATATTTTTTTATTCTGCTGAAAATTGAAATCCACTTTCGAAACTAGTAATCAATCACGTTTTTTTCTAACCTTACACTTTAAGGTTCCGTAGAGGAGTTTGCATTCCTTTCTACAAAGCAAATGAATGCACATACTTAAAAAAATGATAAGTCAAACCGCGAAAAATTAAATTAAAGCGTGAACAAACTAAGACTTTTTCCTGAAAAAAAAACAAAAAAAGACTTCGACAAGAGTATTCACAACGTGAATCTTGATAAAGAGGAACGCATTGGAAATCAGAGTTCGTTCATTGACAATTTACAAACGATTTTCAATTATAATGAAAAAAAATTAAGTCGGACCGACAAAAACATAAGATAAACGATAATCAGTTATTTAAAAATTCTCAGAAAATAAATTCAATTTAAAAAGCAAGGTCCGGTCAAGATTCGAACCCTGAGCTTGGGATTTTCAGGCACGCACATTACCACAAGATCAAGTGAGAATCCCCGGTTTGAGGTTCCACAATAAAGCTAGTTCAATTTCTTACAGATCGCAAGTGAAAACATACAAAAAATCTTGGAAAATCGAAAAAAAAATCCGTTTCCATTTCGTACCTCCATCCTAAGAGTTATTTGGCCGAATATCTTAGCCATGACGTGCTGGTTACTCATACTTTTATTAACGCTTTATTTGGAATTCAGGCAGCAACGCTCTTTAATAAAAAACAGATAAGGTTATAATTAATTAACGCAAAATCAGTTATAATGTTCAGCACAGAGGCCAAGCCCGGACACAAATATTGCATCATTTTTTAACCGTAGGAAAAATCTGAAAGTTCCATGAACGCTTTAGAAAAATGCAACACTATCGCGCAGAGCTTAATCCAGATTTGACAAAAAGGCAAAGCTGAGTTTCGCGCCACTTGCGATACAAGTGATACAACACAAAAACTAAAAAAACATAAGAAACAGAAAAATGTTGAAAAAAATAAGAACCAAAACTTTCGCATGTCTCTAAGAACCAAAACTTTCCGCTCAAATGATTATGCAAAGGACGCTTCTCACATCAAGTTGTTTCGATTGAACCCAAAACTCAGTTTAAGGACTGTAGTAATTGAAAACCATTAAAAATTTCATAAAACGGTCCAAAAATTTTTTTAAAAAAATTACTTTTCCAAGGGCCATAACTTTTAATATAAAAAAGCTGGTCGTAGCCAACTATGAAGGAATTTTCCCATAAACCATTCTTTGAATTGAACCAAAAACCTCAGATTATAGAGGGTGGTTTTCGAGAAAAGTCAAAACATTTCAAAAACGTTTAAAGAAACAATTATTGTCTAAAGTATTGTCTAAACAAATAATTAAATAAATTATCAAGCCACGGGCCCTCGACAATTTACTAACACAAGCCATAAATAAAGCAGCTACATAAGCTTAAAAAAAATTGCAAATTCCATGCAGCAAGTGGTACCAAAAACAAATACATAAATTTGCATGTAAAAATTTGGAATATAACAAACTGAAGGCATCAACACTAACTTTGCGGGTAATAAACTTCGAGGCATGAAGCAAAAGTATGCATAAACACTGAGGCGAAGCTGAGCTTCGCACCAATTGCGATACTAAAAACTATGATAATCATTAAGTTCAAACGGAAAAAATTAATTGAAAAACATAGCCAATCGAAGATTGGGAAACAGTTACGAATGCAATTAAACATTAAAAAACTGACTTTCTTGAAAGAATCTCAACTTTCGAATTTCAAAAAAAAGATGCAATTTAAGCTCTTTGAATTTCTAGAACAATTCATGATTGGCGCTTTTGATATCATGAACCCAACTAGAAAACTGGATCAATACGTAAAGTTTTTAGTCCGCTGGAAATCTGAAATTAAATTCCACTTTCAAAATTAGAAATCGTTCACGTTTTTTTGCTCCATTTCAACGTTCATATTTGAAGAGTGCTATTTACGTCACTTTCAGCTGATGAACTGCAATTGAACTCAAAAAAAGCATATATACCTAAGTGCATTCATAAATGCATCAATATGTATGAATGCACATCTGTAGTTATTAGAGACTTTTAAGATTTTTCCTGAAAAAAAAATCAGCAAGACCTATATTAGAGTCTCCACAACGTTCATTACTCTTATAAAATTGTTTGACATTAAAAATTGCAACAAGCCCAAAAAATCCAAAAAAATACCGGTACCATTGAAAACTATACAAGGAGCTTTCAAGAATGATAAAAAGAAGCCGAATATTCAAAAAAGTCATTTCAGCGGAATTAAACCGAAAAACAATAAGCAGACAGACAATAATCTAAAAGAAAGCTGGACTAAATGAGCACTTTTATTTGCGACTGATGTTACAAAAAATCCTTCGTAATATTACACTAAGCGTTGGTTGTGTAAATAACCAAGCGGTACCGAAGCCATAAATACCTGAGCAAAAACCCTTTAAGATAAAAAACTCAAAGTAATAAAATTTAAAGCCCCCTTTCCCCTCTACACGCACAAACACAAAAATTTCGGTCCAACTAAAAGGAAGCAACTAATTCGATAAAAAAACCGAAACCAATATAGCCTAAAAAAGACAAAATTAAAGAAAAACGAAAACTTAACAAAACGAATTGGTGAAATACCACCAATGTAGAAATCGAATTTGGATTCGAACCAATTTTTTTTTTAATGCTAAAACACTCAAGCAACTACAAAGAAAATAGTTTACAGCAAAAATAAACTATTCTTAGATGTGGCAACTAATCCGACAAAACATAAGCAGACAAATATTAGGCCGACAATTTATTAACCTTTGAAAAAATAAGTCCTGTCAGATTCGAACCCAGGACCTTTGCTATCCCAGGCGTATTCGTTACCTCCAGGCTTAAATTGCAGGAGACACTAAGAAACTTGAATTAATTATGAACGAAGGTGCCAACAGGAGTCCAGATGAGTCCTGTGAATAAAGTTAAACACTGGAAAAAAGTCTAGTACCTGACTGCAAAATACTTGCTTATCGCAAGGATAATTATGCTATTCAGAAAAATGCGAGATATCTTGTTTTGGAAAATTTCCGAAATCGGGTTTTTATTATTGCACTGTTGTTTGGACCTAACATTTTTCGATTCATGTGAAAGTTAAAAATGAATCATCTGTGTTAACTTATTACTAATCGAATGTCAAAACACATGCTATCAAAAATCCGCAAATGTGCCACCAAAAATGTCACTAAACTTTGCGACTTGGTTTGCTTAAAAAAGTCGTATTATTACACTACGCTCGCTAAAGTTCGAAGGTGTAAATAAAGGAAAAACAGCAAAAATATGCCTTGAAATAAATTTCATCTGTGCAGATTGTGAAAAAAGTGGACTCGTAATATAACACAATGATCGCAAGCTCGCTTGTATAATAACTTCAAATGACTAGGTTTTTTTCTTCAGATTGTTTAATAATTTTGGTTCTGAGAACGCGCAAACTGAAGCTTCAAAAGCAGCTTTTTTATAAAATTTAATTTTTACTGCTTACGAAAGAGCTTTTTGCTCTACTTGTTCGTCAACTTGCTGTAACTAAAGCTAAAAATCGAACCTTAAAACGGTGTTTTCTCAACACTGAGAAAAAGTTATGGTAACTTTTCAAAATCGGTCGGAATCACAGTTGAATGGGCTTTAATATGATAGATCACTCAACAACAACTGATGTTTAATTGTGGCACCCAGTTTTGTGCGGAACAAGGCGAAGTTCAGTTCCGAAGTCAAATTCAGTGGTTAAAACCGGAAAACTGCAAAACTAAAGGTATTTTTTCTGTTGCAAAATAAATATTTAAGTGGAAAACAAAAGGTATTTTTTTACCTTGAATGCGACAGAACTTTAAGCTCAGCAAAATTGACCATGAAAATCCAAGTTTTTCAAGCTGAAAACTACAAAAATTTTGAATCAAACTAATAACGCTAAGCACTGATCCAGAAAAAATCTTTCTTTCAAAAAGTGTATAATTATTCGCCTATCTATGGTAGCTGGTATAAAAACAGATATCAAAGTAAGTTATATTTAAATTATGCAACAATTTTAGCTTGTTCTGTTTGATAAAAAAAATGTAATTCCACTAACTCTAATTGGCCATTTGGAAATTGTGACAAATTGATGCAATTGCAGCTATCATATCAAGCGGAAGTCTTCTTTTTTGTTTCATTCATTGTTTTATAATAAAATCAATCGTCTTTTTCCTCACTCCGACAAGATGATCACGTGGATCCGAATTCCTTCATCCACTCTTCGTACTTTTTCAAGTCATCATTGGAGACAGAACGAGACACCTGAACAGTTTGACAAAATTTAGTTACAAACGAAAGAAGGAAACCCGTTTGCTGTAAAAGTAGCACAGAATTTTCCGACCACAATAATTATTGTGATATGATGAGAAGATCTGAACGAACGTCCAGAACTTCAATAGCAATATTAACTTTGGTATATTCGACATAGTATATTTGACAAAATATTGAAAATTAAAAAAAAAAATTGCAGAAAACATCGAAAACTTATTTTATTGTAGTTAAACCAAATTGCCACAGCTGAACTTAAAACATAGCCAACTGAATGTTCGAAAAGAGTAATGAATGTAAGTAAACAAGAAAAAAAAACTTTGTTGAAAAATCTCAAAATTCGAAAAAAAATAGATGCCATTTAAGCTCTTTGAATTTCTAGAACAATTGATGATTGGCGCTTTCTTGATAGCATTATTCCAATTTGAGAAAACTGGATCAATATGTTATGTTTTTATTCCGCTGGAAATCTAATAATTAATTTCCACTTTCGAAACTAGAAATTGTTCATGTTTTTTCGCGCCATTTCCACGTTCGTATTTGGAGAGTGCTATTTACGTAACTTTCAGGAGATGAATTTCAACTTAACTCAAAAAATGCATGTATAACTAAGTGCATTCAGAAATGCATTAATATGAATGAATGCACATCAGTAGTTATTAGAGCATTCTAAGACTTTTTCCTGGAAAAAAAAAACAGCAAAAAAATCACCAAGATCTCTACAAGCGTCTTCACTATGTTCATTACTCTTAGTTATGAGCATTGGACTGTCATAAGCCTAATTTTTATAACCTCTATTCTCGGTTTACTCGCTCAATATTAGAAATACCACGAATAGTAATTGGAATGGGTCGAGTGATATATCATCTTGAAGCCATTTCAGTCTTGATTCAAACGACATTTTAAAGTTTTCAAAAATGTGTTGTCGAGAAATTTTTTTCGAGTTTCAAATTTTCAAATGTCGTTCAAACCAAGACTGAAAGGGCTTCAACATGCTTTATCTCTCGACCCATTCAAATTACTATTTATGGTGCCTAATTTTGCGTGGGAAACAAAAAAACACCCGAAGACAGAGTTCCTCCCGATTTTCAATGATTGGACTATTGCAAAATCGACTATTGCTATACGAATAACTTTTCAATTAAAATTCTTAGTTTTATATTTTCTCACCCATATTTGGTGCTCAAAGTTGAGTCTTTTAGTTGAGGTTTTTATTATGTAAGGAAATTTTGCGCAGTGATTAAAAGAAATAATCCGAACGCACTTAAATTGAATCACAAAACGAAAAAAAATCGATAAATTTTTCCTCGAAAAAAAATCCTGACAACTTTCAACCACGACCTAAGAAAGTGTCTTCACTTCGTTCATTGATTTGAATTCTGAGGCATAACTTTTACTAACCCGTTTAAGAGCGACTTCGAAGTCGTCGTGTGTGGTTGGGAGATCTATCTCATTGGGATCCAGTTTCTTAATCTCGTCCGCATTCAGCCCAGAAATACGTCTGCGCATGGCCATCATTGCGGCATCTCTGCACACATTGTTGATGTCCGCCCCAGAGTATCCATCTAGCATGTCTGCAATTGCGTCCAGAGTAACATCGTCCGCCAGCTGAAACAAATATTAAATTTATAGCCAAAAAAAGCAAAACAAAAACGGATGAGGTGCCGAAAATGAAAGGTTCGTCCAGTGGACTTGCTCTCAATCATTAGATCGGTGATTTCAGGCGCATCAATATAAATGACATCATCTTGCCAGCAGTCCCCTATCAAGAGTAAAACAGGCGGGACTGAAAAGGCACACTGAAAAACTTGTAGGCTGGCTATCTCCCATGCATGAACCATCTCAAAGACGAGAATGTTTTGGCTGTAAAATTTCCATACTTATTAAGAGTCATGACTGCCTTGAAAATGCCATTTAGTCTGATATGCACTGAACTCACTTTGATGTCCTTGAGGCATATGTCCAAGAGCTGTCGTCTGCCTTCCTTCTCGGGCAGGGGGATGTAGATCCTCTTTTCCAACCTCCTCCTCAAAGCCTCGTCTATGTCCCAGGGGAAATTAGTGGCTCCTAGTACCATCACCATCTTCCCTGGTTCGTTCCCACTGTCCACCCCGTCCATTTGAGTCAGCAACTCACTCTTCACTCGCCGACTGCTCTCGTGCTCTGAGTCCGAACCTGCAACACACAATGCTGTTTTCTTCCATTTGAAGCTTCGAAAAAATTTCTTGCAGTTTTAATTAGAAAGCGTGAGGCCTTCATTTAGCAAACCAATTTGAATTGAATTTTAAAAAACCAAACCATTAGTACATTAACTTGAGCGTGAATAAGGAAGGACGTTTAAAAAACAAAGCCAAAAAGCCTTAAAGGTTACTTCCTTCAACGACACCGAAAAACGATTTCAAATTTTTGACAAATCGAACGAACTATTCTGAAAAAGAAATAAAAATCCCATGCCATGATAGTTCAATTAATTATATCATTTGATTAAAAAGAAGCTCTGATAAACGGATGGGAAGCAGAGCTTCGCGCCATTTAGGATGCAACGCAAAACGTAGAAAATAAGTCGATGGCCACTATGTGAAAAAAAAAAACAATTTAAATCAGCAAAAACTTTATTCGTTAGTCTCACTCAAATAAAGTTCAATTTGAAAAACACAACCAGAGAAACAGTATCAACAGCTTTAAATTAGCATTCAAACATTTATCTACCACCGCCTAATCCAAAAAAAAGTGGGTAACCGATTGTTGAAACGAAAACAAATTTATCAAAAATTTTCTTGAGCTATACCGCTTAACACACAAATGCAATAAAATCTAACTTGCCCTTTAAATGGCCCAATATAAAGTGACTCAGCCAATGTTACATTTGCCGAACTCACAAATTGACGAATTATCGCAACGAATCAGTTTCTGCCAAAAAAAAGAAACTTGGGCTGAACCGATCGCCTTTTTGTTATTGTTTATTACATACTGGTGGGGGGGGGCGTCATACGAGCTTGGTCCGAGTCTAAGGAACATTGCTACTTCGAGGGGACGTTAGGATCTATCCTATTAAGATAAGTATTTAAAAAGGGAGAGTAGCCTGATGAGCTGCGTTAACGTGCTCCTAGTTGAACGAAAGAGCAGTTGCTCAGTCGAGGAAATATCAGGCAGAGGTAGCGGCAGAACATAAGGAGTGGGCCCGCCGTTGATTGAATTCGTTACGTGGTTTGTGTGTATCACTTTAAAAAGTGGTTCAAAATGATTAAAAACGAAATTGCTCCCGTCAGTGTCATTGTTAAACGAGATAAAATCAATTATCTCAGAAATTCTTTCGTCAAGTTCTTCTGATAGAACTGATTTAAAGTTATGTTTGATTTGTCTTTCAGGCGAAGGAAACTAATGATAGCAATCAAGGGTAAGGAAGTTACGGTACGATTTTAAAAAACGATAGTTGTCTATGGTGCTGTTGCGCAGAAAGGTTAAACATTTAGTATTTAAGTGATCAATGCAGCTATAATCGTGCACCCTGCCACGACACTGAGAACTGCGTTTTAAATGACTTTTAATTTGTTCAAGGAGTTATTTCTCGCAGTATGTGACCAAACAGGACAGGAGTAATCGATTATTGTTCCGATTAAGGCTTTCAACGTTACAAACAAAGTTTCCTTTGATTGTGTCCCGTTCGCCACAAGAGCCTTCAGGATCAATAAGCTATGCGTGGCTTTCTTAGAGGCGGTTTGTTTCCAACTCTTGGCAAAATAGAGTTCAAAAAGTTCAATTTGAAAAACACAACCAGAGAAGCAGTATCAACAGCTTTAAATTAGCATTCAAACATTTATCTACCACCGCCTAATCCAAAAAAAAAGTGGGTAACCGATTGTTGAAACAAAAACAAAATTATCAAAAATTTTCTTGAGCTATACCGCTTAACACACAAATGCAATAAAATCTAACTTGCCCTTTAAATGGCCCAATATAAATATAAAGTGACTCAGCCAATGTTACATTTGCCGAACTCACAAATTGACGAACTCACAAATTGCACCCTGCCACGACACTGAGAACTGCGTTTTAAATGACTTTTAATTTGTTCAAGGAGTTATTTCTCGCAGTATGTGACCAAACAGGACAGGAGTAATCGATTATTGTTCTGATTAAGGCTTTCAACGTTACAAACAAAGTTTCCTTTGATTGTGTCCCGTTCGCCACAAGAGCCTTCACGATCAATAAGCTACGCGTGGCTTTCTTAGAGGCGGTTTGTTTCCAACTCTTTGCAAAATAGATGGGCGGGTCAGAAGTAATTTTGGGTTTTTTCTACTGGAAGAATCGAATCCATTGATAGTGGGTTTAGAGTTGAACTCATAGAGCAGTAGGTTTCTGTTCGTGAAAACACTCATTGAGCTCATTTAAGTAGTTGATGAAAATACCGGTTGCCTCGACGATATTACTTTATTCAGCAAAAGGATAAAAATTGAAAATACAAACTTGAACTATTACTTTGGGTGGCCTCAGAGGAGCATCAAGTACGTAAAATTAAAAAGAGTGGAAGAAAAAAGACTGAACCTTGTCCCCCTGTATGGTCAATCCTGGTTGTCGACAGTTTGTTTCTGAACAAAACAGGGTCCTGGCTTGGCGCCCGCTAAGATATTTCGAGAGCCATCTGACTATACCTTCGGGTAAGCTCGAGCCGTGCAGCAGTTTGAATAAAATATGGTGCTATACCATATCGAAAGCTTTCGACGACATAAGAGTGGCGAGTACTGTTCGTTTTGGGGGTCTCTTTTGGTTAAACTCATCTGTTATAGAAACAAATTCCAGTGAAGACAGGGCTGTAGTGGTTGAATGGAAAGGCCTGAAACCGCTTTGCTGGGGGTATTTTGGTAGATTGACGGTGAGTTTGGAATTGATTAAGGCTTCCCAAAACTAACCGCTAGTCTGAGAATCGATATCGGACGTTACGATTCTGGTGATTTATCTTCTTTGTTGGGTTTCGGTAGAGGAACGACTTTCGAGTTTTTGCAAACTTGGGAAATTGTATTAAAAACTACGGAAAGGTTTTAAGTATGTTTGAGACACTTTGTTGCAATTAGCCCTATATTATTTGAAAAATACGGTACACAAACCATCGGGACACAGCGCGCTGGAGGTTTAAGCGAAAGTTATCACTGATGCAAATTCTATTGGATATAATTTAATTTAGTTTTTTAGGATGTGTATTAACATTTCTTTGTCACTCCGCTCCTTTAATTTATGCTGCTAAACTTTTGCCATTAAAAATGATTAGGTGGCTTCCCGCCATATACTTCGCTCCGCTCAGGGAGCTAACCCCACCTTCCAGAACTTGCTGGACGCCGTGCCGTGACTGAACGTCTGGAGAAAGTCTCGTAAACGTTTTTTGCACTAAACTGTTAGTTTTTAGATTTTGGCTTTAAAAAAACACTTACCTTCGGTAAAAACAATTTTTAAGTGCAATTTCGTTTTTATCCCCTACCAGGGATTTAGCTTTTAGAGGGAGGACGGGCAAAAGAAGCGATGACGCCAGGAGGAAATATGTTGACGAGCAGCTGCTAAAATCGCATCAAGTAGGTTTTTCTCCGCTGTGATTACATCTTGCGGCAGGGGCAATGATTCCAAGACCTGTTCAACTTATGCAATAAAACTTAGCCAGTCCGCTTTTTCGATATTGATGTGTTTTAACAGAGACAGGGATTTCATCGCGCAAAGGAGGTTCGTTTAAAATAGAGATGATCTGATACTACAGTTGAGAGAGGTTGCCAACTCAAAGACAGAAGAAGGGAAGGAGATGCTAAAGAAATGTCCTGTGACGACGATATTGTTTTGTCATAGGGAAGCCTAGTTTGGTTGAAATTGTTAAATGGCGTTAAAAATTGAATTCATGATTCCAGTAAAAATGCTACCTATGGCGTGCTTGGAAATCCACAGAGGGGAATGCGCATTAACGTCCCCCAGCAGTAAACTTTCGTCTTCAAATAGAAATTGCGCGAAGGACGGTTTATAGTCATTTGGGCAGCAGCTGCGCGAGGGAAATAGACATTCGAGACTCGGAAGCTTTGGCTGTTGGCATTAACTATAAAACTCTGAGCCTCCAGATTTCCGTCATGGTTACAGTCTAGTTCCTCGTACTTGAGAGAGCTACTACTATCAACAGAGCTCCAGCGCTACAGCGAAATTTTCAGTGCTACAGATCGTGATTATAGCAAAACTACCACCAATAGGTTAACACGTTTTTTTTGCGAGCTAGTTTAGAAAAAAAGAAGGTTGTACTAATACACCAATGCTCGCAAGGGTAAATGTTTTAAAAGATAAAGAGTTCAAAGAATTAACGCTGCGCGGGGCTGGTTACAGTTAGCGCGGGGCTGATTACAGTGGGCTGCAGTATGCGATTCTGGGAACAGTATGAGCAATAAAAAATCTCTATGATCGTGTGTAAGATTCGGGAGTTCACTATATTTAAAATGGATCCACTCGCAAATCAACCACATTTACTTGGTTCCGTTTGATGACTTGGTTTCACGGGGAGCAAGAAAAAGGGACGTGTAAAGAAAAAATCAAAATAGCAAACATGTGAAACTATTTTAAGAGTTGATGCCGTACATATTATATAGTTAGGCGGACTCAAAAACCACTTTGTGCCGATGTTCAGTTCAGTTGTGTCATGAAAACAGCTTGAACCAATTTTTCTCACCAACACACAGCGACGGCTGCGTGATGCTCAGCTCCAACTGAATCCGACTTACCTCTCTTGCTGCAGAGAGAATCAATTTCGTCGATGAAGATGGTACTGGGCGCATAGTAGCGAGCCATTTCGAACAGCAGCCGCACCAGCTTCTCACTCTCTCCTCTCCATTTGGAGGTCATTGTGGCTGAAGAGACGTTGAAAAACGTCGTCCCACACTCAGTCGCCACAGCTTTCGCTAGAAGTGTCTTGCCAGTTCCTAACAATTATGTTAACTTAAGGATAACTAAAATTCATTGGAATCGATTAGAATACGCTCAAAACATTGAAACACTTTGGTTATTCACTAATTGTTCCGACCATTCTAAAAATGTTGAGGAACTTGGTTTTCGGGTTTGTTTAAGTTTTGTTCTTTTTTTTGTTTTCCACACAAATAATCATCGGAATGGGTTGAGTGATATATCATATAGAAGCCATTTTAGTCGTGATTCGAACGACAGTAAGAAATTTTGAAAAAATTTTCTCAGTGTTGAGAAAAGCCAGTTTGAAACTTTTGATTTTTGGTCACGATTTTAGGAATTTCAAGCTAATAAGGTGAGGCTAAGCAGGCTTTCGAAATACTTATTTTCAAAACTTAGTTTCACTGGAGTAAAGTTAGTTTTTGGAGTTTTTTAGCGCCAATTTGGGAATCAAAAACTTCAAAATTCAAAAACATTCTGCAAAATCCTTGAAAAGTTTTTGCAATTTAAAAAAAAAAATTTTTTTTTTCGTTTTTCTTCAAAGACGGTTTCCCATTTACAGAAAACTGGATTAACCAAAATGTTTTGACTCCAGTGGAATAAACTAACAAATTTAACGTCTATTCAACAAACCAGAAGTATTCATGTTTTTCTAGGTCTTTTTACTTTTGCTGTTCAAAAGCGGACTTAACCTTCCTTAAAAAGGAAATCAACTGAAATTAAAAAGAAATCAGAAGTTTAACCCCAAAAAGATAAATTTGAGCGTGAACAATTTTCACTTTTCCCTCAAAAAATAATCGCGAAAATTATAAGTGACATTCACTTCGTTTTTTTACACACGAAAAGAAATCAGTTTCCGACATACCGGGTGGTCCAACCATTAGAACGCCCTTCCAGGGTCGTCTTATGCCGGTGAAGAAATTCGGCATCAGCATTGGAAGCACCACAGCTTCATCCAGGAGACGTTTTGCGTCCGCATTACCCGCAATGTCACTCCAATGGATGTTCAGATTACGCATCAAAATATCGCGTTGCAGTAATTCGATCAAATCTTTGTCGTATCCAGAGGGTTCGAATGGTTTGTCTTCTGCCTTGACAGGAATCTTGTCCTTGTCTCTTCCTCCAACTGCACCTGGATTGCCTTTACCCTCAGGAGGCGCTGCTTTACCTTTAACTGGAGCGTTTGGCGAGTTCTTTGCTTGGGCTGCATTTGCTCTCGCCTGTGCAACCCTATTTGCCGCCACGCTCTTTGGCACTACTACTGGTTTAGGAGCCGGTTTTTCTGCTGGAAGATTGCTTCGTCTATTTGCTGGTCGTGGGGCTGCACGCTGGGCAAAATGTGGCTGTTGAGGGCCAAAAACATCTGGATCATTTTGGTAATCGTCATAATCACCTAGTTTAAATTTCGGGATGATTAGATTCTTCAACATCACAATCTTATGAACGAAAATTCAGAAGTGTGGACAGGCGACCTTTTATGTGACCTTTTGCTAACCAACGTAAGGAAGATCGCCGAAAACCATTGGAAATGCTAGTTTGCTTCAATGTTTTGAACTTTTACCAATTTCCCAAACTTTCCCTCGTTTCAACTGGGTCGCTTAGTTTGTGGGATGAAACTATAAATTAGCTAATGTTTTTTCCCTATTTCGACTTCCTCAAAAAAAGCTCGTAGTTAGCCAAGTGTGGTTTTTTATTAAACCCCATGATTTGGATTCCAAAGTGAAAATTGAATTCAATTGAAAAACTGAAAAATTGGCAATTTTTTCAATTTTCCAAAAACAAGTTTCAAATTTTTGAATTCTGTATTTCAATTGTTCTGGCCGGAAGATTCTGTGCCACCATTTTAAGAGCACACGCAATTCAAACCTCATCTAGTGGTCGCTTATACTATAAACTGTGTTCGTTTGACAAAAAAATTAGGCGGAACTATGATAGCATGCTCAATTTCATGGGAGCACAACTCAGAACGAGAAACAATTTAGCTATTAATACCCATTACCTGCTCCTCTGTCTTCTTGCATATTGTCAAATCTTCGGGCTCCTTTCCCACCATCCATGTGCATGGAGTCAAGTATCCTTACAATATTCTTCACGTTTTGCAATTCAACAGTAAGATTTTGCCTCATTGTTAACCATTTATCTCGTATTCGTGGTTCACTGCATGCTTGGACATTTCGCTGGATTAGTTTGATCACACCTTCATAAAAAACACTAGCTTGTTCGTATTGTCCCAGCAGAGCTAACTCACGGGCACTTTGCACATCACGATCTATATCTGACAGCTCCTTGCTGGAACCAATAGCTGCCATTGTCTATGAAAATTTTTTAAACAGTAATATTCGAAGTTTTTGTCACTCGGGAATGCCCACAAACAGAGAACAGATACAGAGATTTTTATTTTATACAGTAGCGAAGCTGAGCATTTAAATTATCTTAATTTTGTAAAGGGTGAACTCAATTTCTGCAAAATGAATTTAACTTTTCTGAATGTTTCAAGAATTTCAAATGTAACTCAAAAACTAGAAAAGACATCACACGTTCCTTGAAGAAAAAGATAGTGCGTATTCATAGGTTCCAAAATAAAAAATCAGTCCCATAGATTCCAAAATAAAAAAGCACTCGCATAAGTTCCAAATCTTTTCAATTGGTCAAAAGGCTAAATTAGTGTAACATTCGTCTACTGCAGTCACACATGAGGCTTAAGAAAAATAGGCCCTATAACCACTGGCTCAAGGGTCAGGGACACTATCTCTTGTGTTTTTCTACCTCAAGAACGGTCGGAGCCAGTTCGGTTCGCTTGTGACATGAGACTACGACCCGTTACAGCTTAAAGGCTACTACTAAAATATCCCCCCACTCTAGAATTAGAAACGTCCCCATACTTAGGTCTCTAGATACCCAAAATACATGAACGCCGTTAAAAACCGGGTTGGAACAATCCGTTAAGTTACTTTTTATTAGACAGTGGAACTTTGATCCATTTCAGATGGATCAACCTAAAACTCGCCTTACCTCAACATAACAATTATAAAACACACTCTAGGAATTTAAATTAAGTACTCACATTGTAGCACGCTCAAGAACCAGGAAGTAAATAAGTCGGTAAACAACTCAAGAATTAATAAAGTAACTAATATGAGTTTAATGTCAGTCAGTTTTAACAACAAGAACAAGTTTTTACTCTAGACTGCAAGTTCTCGTGAACCATTGGGACACTCTAGCTGTCCACCTTTCCACCGAAGGTTCACTCTGGTCCAGTCAATAATAGTATTCCAATCGTAATAATCCAACTCGAGGGAATGCTCTCGTCTCTGTCACAGATGGGACAGCTCTACTCTAGGTTATTATTGCTTTCGAAATTGCGAATAGCAATTTCCCACCAATTTTTCTAGCAACTTTCCCGCGATTGTTACTCAATTGTTCTGAAATTGTTCTGATTTTCAGTTCTCACGAGAAAATCGTGCATGACAGGTTCCATTCGAAATTTTGAAAAATTAAATTTCACTCCAAAATCAAGTGTTTTTTGCTTCTCTCAAGGTCAAACTTCCAAATATGACCGACTGGCACATACTCCCCGGACTCGAGATCGATGTCCTCATCGCGCGCTGTCTTCTGCCAGTGAGTCCCAGAAAAACCGAGTGTTGCTCAAGATACAGTGCCAGTGGTCATTTACAGAAGTTTGCAGCAGATTTAAGCTTATCTACACCCCAAAATTCACAGCCATTTAAAATTTTCACATTATTGCTAAACAGCAACCAAAATCTGCATATACCTGCACCCTTGAATTTTCGCTTTTCAAGCCAATCATTTTAAAATCTCTTTTGTCCTATTCAATCAGGAAATTGTCATGCAGCATTTTCGATTTATAAAATAAATATAGTATATTAGTAACAATATTTGCTTTGTTAAAATTTCTTTTTCGTGAATCCAAGTTTCACTCGGATCCACGCTCAAGCCCCCCTTCCCTCTCAAGACTCAAGATCCATCCGATTTGCCCATTCATCTCGTACTCTTCGCCTTGGAGGTACTGCATCCTGAAGTGCTAGATGCGGCAAACTGTCTCAACAGTTCCTCTTCATCATCGGAACTAATCACAATCTCCTCCCAAGCCTTCAGCTGTTCATAGGATCGCATCCATTCTCTCTGCTCCTGCAATCTCTTTGCTTGGTTGGGTAGTGCCTTCACCCTAGCTTCTCGGTTCAAGCAAAAGGAGTTGTGCAGGCTCAAGCTCACGTTCTTCGCCAGGTCTTCCTCTAGTATCGACTCCCTCGCTTTGGTATTGTCTCTAGACATCTTACCCACTCTTTTCCATCCTGTCGTGATCGCATTACGATGGGTTAGCAGGGGTCTCTTGAAAGCTTCCGGCCCAATCTCGGCCTGGAACTGTCGATACTCTTTTTGATGTTTTCTCATGTGATCTTTCGTTGTCATGTACAACCAAGACGTCAGTGTCGCCCGAAACCATGGAAAGTACCTCAAGCGACTCCATACGTGCCTGACTTCCGTCGGTATGGCGAATACTTTGCACGCAGTCTCAAACAACTCGAGTCTCCTGCTGTAGTCTATCGCGTATATTGACTCAGCCGTTGGCGTCGTCGCCTCCCGATACTTCGTTATATTCTCTTCTATCCATCTCAGAGCTAACATCGTACTCACTACTAAGAGCGTCACCTTCTGCCGGTGATCCGGTAGTCCGATCGACCGAATCTCTTCCACATCCCACACCAGGCAAAGGTTCTTGTGATCTGGATACCACACCGTTTGTGCCAAACAGTGGCATGGGCATTCCCCATGAGAGATCTCAATGCTCCTGAGATTACGCTCCCCTGAGGCTTCCAAGAGAGGCTCAAGCTCCATCATTTTCTCGTGCATCGTGTCGTTGTCTTCCAGGTTCGGAGTACTTCCCACAGGTTTCCCGATCACGTTTTGTCTCTCGTGATCGCTCGTGTTTTCTCTTTCCAACTTCAGAAGATCTTCTCCCCAGATTTCGCTTAAGTCATCTCTCAATTCTTTTGGTACTGTCCCTTTGATTTTTCTCAACAACTTGTGCGAGTGATGCGACATCCGAGCCAACCTCACGCACTTGGGCACTGAGAAGGCCTTGTCCACCAGTATTCTCTGGCTGGACACTTCCACCATCGCCATGTGTAGCGGGTAGTGACTTCCGCACAAGTTGGCCATCATTGACCCTATCAGCGATTTCGCGTTCAATGGCAAGCCATAAGCTTCGCTCATGGGAAATCCCATTTCCGCCTCAAGACCAACCTTCCAGCTCCGGATGTGTTTTTGAGTCACCTGCAACACCCCGGGCCATGATTCCACGCTCAACGCCGTCACTAAATGATGTTCAGACTCCAGTCTCTCCAGTGCCTGCAGACCACACATTCTCGAGAAGAATCCGAGAGCTGTCGCTATATTCACCGTGGTTCTCGCGTAACATTCCGCTATTATTTGCACTTCACTTTTCTCCCTTTCTGTGATGTCTTCGAACCAAGTGACCAGGTCTTCTTTTTGAAACGACAGTATTCTGACGCATGACCGTCCATCGCAGATGTGCTCTCCGTTCCCACACGTCGAATCCAGACAGCTACCCGGCTCCAATTTCTTTACTGACCCGGGGTCGCTCGTCCTTTCGCTTGGCTCTTGCATCTGGGGCGTGATTAGCTTATGTAGTACACTCAACTTCGCCAGATCTTCATCTTCCGTTGGTGCTAACCTCACTCGCTCTGTGGTTTCCTCGATTAGACTTGCATGGGGATGTGGACACCAGGAGGGTCTTAGTAGCTTCCATATCACTCCCAAGTTCGTGGTTAACAAGCCATTTCCACCGCCCATGTTCACTTCAACTCTCTTGTTTGAGCGCGGTATGCTTATCACCTCTGGTGTTTTCTCAAGAATCAGGCCCAGGCTCGGCCCCTCTTTCTCCACCGCGTCTATCTCCATTATTCTTTCTGTCCAAAACTTCAGTAGCTCCGCTACCTCATGGTTTCTGTGGGCTCCTCCAGCTTCCGAGTCTAAGAAGGGATTGTAGGCCATTCCCATCACTCCAGACACATGTTGGTATTCCCCCTTCTCACTGAGTCTCGAGTACTGTTCTGACGAGGCCAGGTTACGGTGAACATCATGTTCTTCCTCGAACTTCTTATTAGAGAACCTCCGTACCTCGTCCAGCTTCCGATGGTTCTCTAAGGATAGTCTGGAACCATCTTCTTTCTCTATTCCTGTACTCTGATATACGTTCAAGATGATCGTTGAGACTCTTTTCTCCATGGTTTTACTTCCACTTGCTCTCTGGTGGCATGCCAGGATGGTGCTGTCAGACATCATTGACATTATCCATCTCAAGAAACATGTGGCATCTTTTCTTCTAGCCAGGCTCAAGCCTGAATTGTCCCTGGCCACGTGTTGCATCAGTGCCTGATACACCTCTAGCTTCTTGCTTCCCAACTTCAGCCTGTCATACGAGGTCAATGTCTCCAACTCTATTCCCACCAGACTCCAGGTGAACATTAATTGTCCCGCAGTTCTAACGAAGGGATTCGCCATTAGTGGCGGTGCTGATGAGGATGTTCTCATCGCCTCTTCAAAATGATCCTTCAACAAACTCTGCCAGGACCTCTTCAGATGACTTGCCATCTCTATCTTATTAACCTCGGCTTTTTGCTGGGTGGCCCAATTGCGTCGCCTGCGAGCTATTCCACTGTCCAACTTCTTCAAGCAGTCCTCCATTTCCTTCAATGTTTCGAGGGCCACCCACCACGTCCGGGAAGTGTTCCTCGTCTTGTTCCTCTCCAATGGATCACTCGTCACTTGTTTGCCCATGTCCTGATGTGCCTTCGAGATCCATTCTTTGCCGATCTCCACTTCCCCTACCTGTCCGTTCGTTGAACCTCTCTTCACGTTTACCTTCTGAGGCTTGAATTCTTCTTCTGACGTCGAACTGGTGGAAACCTCTATTTCCTTTTCTACTTCAAGTGGTTTCCTGAGCTCCGAGCTGTTCTTGTATGCCGCCGTCTTGCATCGGGCCAAAACGATGGGCGCCGTCTCTCTCAAGTTTCCTTCCGAAACAGCATCCACTGAAGGACTACCCCATCCTTCCACTTCTCTCTTCCTCTTGCGAGTCTTCACATCTCTGCTCGAGGGTGTTGTGGCTATCATCATTGATTCGACCTCTCCATCCACTCATATGGTTAAAATCTTATCATTCTCATATCACTTAAAGCAATTCGATTGGATTTTCCCTTAAGAACATGCAGATTCATTTTATGTTTTAGCACCATCAATTCTTTCTTTTAAAATTCAATTGTCAT